AGGGAGGCAGGTCTTGTGACACTGTAAGTATTGGAAGGTAGTCCCAGTGTCATGTCAGGAAGGGAGACTCTTCAGTCAGGCAGGGAGCCACAAACCTACCAGCTCAAGGTTACCTGCAGTGTTTCTTCTTCTAGCCCAGCTTTCAGCAGAGTGGAAAACTACAGGGAAGAGGAGAGAGCATCTGCACGCTGCAGAGATCTGGGGCTCTGAAAATCTCCCTTCTTTCCTGTCTCAAATTGTTAAGAGTTGAGGGAAGGGTGTTAACAGCAGAGAACATGGACCCTTATAGACCTGAAAGAGCTAAAATTCTGCCTTCCTTCTAAAACCCAGGTCTTGTTCCTGGCACATTCCTGGGAATCAGTGAATTGCTCACAGGGCATCAGCTCGAAGTGTTTCCAGAAAAGTCTGACATTGGGCTTCAAACAGAATATTCAGCTGTGGAAGACAACCCATGCTTTGGGTTTAGCTGAAGGTGGGAGTAACGTTGGTTCAAGAGCCAAATGACACCAGATGACCAGAGGCTAGTACTTCTCCACCAGCCACTAATTGTATTAAGCACTGTTATTTATAAACTGTGAACATAGATACTCATGACTCTTTCATGGGAATAGTCCTAGAGAATTTTAAGAACCAAAGAAAATGTCATCTGCCCATGCATGTGTGCATATACACACTGAAAGAGTTAAGTCTGGGCATCTGAGAACAGAATCAAAACAGAAAGCTGTGTTTGGTGCACTCATGGTCCCACAGGAGACAAGAAGCCCAAAAGTTCCAGTTTCTACTCATCTCACAGTGATCTGAGGTAGTCAGCATCCGAACGAACAATCTTTTTTAAGTATTCTTGAAGTCTGGGCAAACTAAGTAGCCTTATCCAGATATAACAAACTGATGATCTGTCTAGCTCTGATTCTAAAACTCTTAGTTGCACACTGAATATCCTGAGTATAGGATGCTAAATAGCAATCTTAGTATCAAAGAGAGAAAACAGACCTTTTATGAGACACTAATATGAATTTGCAAAAACTGAAATAGAGGACACATGCATCTTTATCTGAATCACATACTTGGACACATAACTATTAATCTGCAGCAACAAAGACGGGACAAGCAGCATCTTCAATAACATCAACTAAAGTGCATGTGAGAGTGTATGTGTGTGAGTGAGTGTGTGTGTGTGTGTGTGTGTGTTACATTGTGGAAAACCCCAGAAGCTTGTGATACAGTGGTCAGACTGTATCAGACTCAGTGTCAACACAACTGGATTTTAGTCCCAGCTCCTCCTCTAAGTATTCATATAACTTCTGGGGTTACTTACCTTGCCAGTTCTTGGTTTCTTTGTTTCTCAAAGTAGCTGTGGTGCTGATTCACTTCCAATGTCCCTTTCAGCCATAAGAAGTTGATTCTGAGTCACTGGATTGGACATAACTTTATTTAATCAAATGAAAGCACATTGTGCTGATTCGTTTAGATTAAACAAAATGTACTCAACTCGATATGGGAAAACGGTCTTCAACAATCTGACAAAGCAAAGCCTTTGCTGGTTGGGAGTAGAAGCATGCTGGTCTTGAAAATGAGGTTTGGAAGGTTAGAATGTGTTCCATCCTTCATCACAATCCCAGGAGAAATATCCCATAGGATAGAAAGTTTGGTATCATCCTGATTTATTGGCATTTAGTACTTGGATGTTCTCTCATGAAAATCTGTATGTTTTATCATGTTTTGAGAACATGGTATCTTTCTCAACTGAGTTATTACCACAGAACCATAAGAAAAGATTGTAATTAATTGAGGAATGGTAGACAGTATGTGCATAGAAGGAAACAAGAAGGAATTGAGGGACAAAAAGTGGAGAAAGCATTTGCTAAAGAAAATCTGTGTAGAAAACACCCCTGCACTCTGATTACCTCTTTAGTTCTGTGTGATTACCATTCCTTGGTACCCATATCATTTATAGCTGAGTCTGAAATCCCCCCCCCATAATACCCTAGTAATTCCATAGCAGAAAAGAAATTTTATGTAATTGCTCTCCAATTAAAATATAGTTTTGGAGAACAACTAAATATGCCTGAATAACTCTTCCAAGTGATGTTAAAAATTAATTAAACTTATGTTTCCTTAATTAGAAAAAAATTGTAGTTCTTATGTTAAAATCTTCCTATATTATTGAGCTTTTGCTTTTTAATAAGGCACCACAGTGGTGCACTTCTGTAATCCCAGTGCCTTGGGAGGCTGAGGCAGGAGGATCATAAATTCAAAGTCACCCAGAGCAACTTAGAGAGGCCCTGAGAAACTAAGCAAGACACTGGCTCTAAATAAAATATATAAAGGGGTGGAGGGCTCTAGGAATGTACCTCAGTGGTTAAGCATCCCTGCGCTCAATCCCTAGTACCAAAATAATAATAATAATAATAATAATAATAATAATAATAATAATAATAATAATAATATAAGATAGTGACAAAATCACTCATGATTTTTCTAAAAAAATACAAAAATATTTTCATCTTTGTACACCTTTAAATAAACTCATAATGTCATGACATTAATAGAATTTAATATATTAATAGAATTAAGGATCATTAAAAGAAATACCATTTTAAAATAAAAATTTCTCCAATTCTATTTAGATCTGATCATTATCATTTATGGTGGAGAGAGACCTTCTAAATCAAATTTCCTGCTAGGTTTAAAATGTTAACTTCTGATATGATACTATTTCAATTTTCTTACTTATACAAGCCAGTATAATTTATCAGAGCAAAGTATTTTAAAAGTAACATTGGCAAAGCTAAAATATCAAAAGACTTTTCCCTAAATCCATTGCTTCCTGTTTTTGTATTGTGGGGCTCTTCATGTATCCAACCAAGTTAAAAACAGCAATTTCCAAGAAAGACCCAATTCAAACAAGTTCCATAAAATGCACATTTTATTCTGTGTCATGAAAAAATATCCACATTTAAATAAAGTGTGAAAAAAATCAAAGTTAATCCTCCCTGATGAAATATAGCATATTTATTGTGCTAAAACCCATAATTCTATTGGGTTAGAAACTTCCACCTGCCAATTCACTTTTTTAAATGACTATTTCTTGAGAACAAACCTTAAGTAAAGTGATAATCACTATAAACTTCCCAACTGCAAAGAATTTTGATCACAAGTTTTCCAGAATTGAACCTAAAGTCACAAATTTAAATTTTTTTCACACATCTCTTTAGCCATCAGGTGATAAGTCAACAGTACATACAAAATTTCAATATTACATGTTTCAATACCTTGGTTTAAGTAGAAAACAAGATCTGCTTAGCATGAATCAGATTTTGAAAATTGCGTACAAGTACTGCTTAGCATAATGGTATTAAAATATCTTGCATGAGGTTTTTTCATTTTTTTCCGTGGTCCACACCTATATCAATTATTTCCAGGGAATTAACCCTAAAGGAAGAGGCATTTTTTTTAATATCCCCAAGTTCTCACAAATATGATTGCAGTGGCAAAAGCATTTATGGTTTTACAAAAATAAATTCCCATCGTAACATCAGCGTTACAGTCAGGAATTTATATTCTAGTATACAAAGTGAAGCAACTAGTGTAAACAAAGTGACAAAAACATAGAATAAAAAGAATTTGTAGTTTTCCCTATGTCATAAATATTCATATTGTAATTTGTGTTGTCTGAGTACCAAGCATTTCTAGAAGTCATTGCTCTTTCAATAAATCAAATGGAAGGTTTTAGGGGAGAAATGATTCTAAATTGGTTTCCAGTTCTCAATGTGATAGCCATCATTTGCAAAATCTGTTCCTAACAAAGTGTGTGTTCCTTCTTCTTTTACTGTGAATAGGTCCTAAGATGGAAGGAGATTTCCTGAATAAAGATGCCAGTGCAGTGAACCAAAGGATGTGAGCGAACAGCACATGTCAACCTAACTGACAAAGATCATGAGAATCACAGCATGAAGACATGCCTGCAAGATCAAAAGGCAATTTGCAACATTAATTTTTCTAAAACTGAAATAGGTTAATCATGATTTTAAATGAAAGTACATTTGCATTTTGTGTAAGTTGATGATTCAGAGCTGGGACATAATATACCAACATTAGAGACTCAATGTCTACCCAACTTGCTTTGACATGGAATTAAAAATGAATCTTTATTGTGATTTTTGCATGGTTTGTCAGTTAGCTCTCCTTCCTATTTGCTCACTCATGACCTCATTAAAAACCTTTCTATCATACTTTGGTTGTAAAACTTGATGAGGAGCCTGTGACACCAACAGCTTTGTGATCGACAATTATCCTTAGGTTTTTTTTAGTCAGGAAGCCCAATTTCCTTAACTCATTGAGAGTCTGACCATGGAAAGAAATAGTTAAATGATCTGATAATAAAGATTAAATATTTGGCAAGGAATTTTTTTTAAAATCAGTTATTATGGTTACTCTTTATTCAGGCATCAGGGTGGATCTTTTAGCCTCTGGTCACTCAACAGGCAGTGATTCTGCATAAATGACAGAGTGGTCAGATCATCCTGTCTTTACCCAATCAAGATGCATCCCAAACAGGCAAGTGCTCAGGGACCTGGGCTTCCAGGTCAAAACCAGATACTCTAAATTTGTTGATGGGTAGGGGAGCCCTCATTTATTTAAAACAATAATTTAGCAAGCTTTCAAACTTCTTCCTAATGTTTCATTAAAATCTTAGTGGTCATGACACACACTGTGTAAACTAACAAAAATTATTAAAAAGGCACAACACAGAGAAAAATCATTAAGAGGAAGCAACTGCTATTCTTTCCCCTTTCTCCCTGTTCCTCCCATAGTTATAACTATGACCACAGGTTGCATTTTTAGGTCAATTGTTCTTTGACCAAATGTCTTAGCAATCAACACAAGTCCATGACCTTGTTTAAGTAAAACCACAGCGATTATGTAGAAGCCAGGGTGGAAGTGAGCCAACTATCAAAATCTGTAGACAGTGTCACTGGGGTCCTCCACAGTTAAGAAAGAAGCAGGATGTTTCTTTTCATGGCTACCTCCAACCCTGTTATTAACAAAGTGAAAACAAGAAGATTTGGACTGAGAATCCCAGAGTATAATGTAGTAATATCTCATTTGTTTATTTTTTTCCTCCTTATCTCAAGACATTTGCTTTAAAGATATCAAAGGGTAGAACAAATAAATGCCAGTTTAGAAATTAACATTTTTTTCATTAGAGAAAATTACTTAATATCTCTTAAGCAAATATATGTACAACAAGCTCATTAAATTTGGAAATAAGAAAACAAATTGCCCTTCTAATCACAAACATTTCATTTGGAGGATGCATTTATTTTAATAGTGATTTGGACTAGAAGCCAACATCAGTATAACCAATAAAAAGATCTGAATAATCTATATTAAAACTCAGTGAGTCAAAAAAAATAAAATTTTGAAATAAAGCCTTTCTCGAGTCTCATCCAAATCTTAATATTAAAAATGAATTATAGAAAAAATCTGGATAATATCTTACTTTCCTTTACCATTATTCATTACCTCTTTAGATTAAAGTTCAACTAGAAAAGAAAATATTGATACCAGTGATCATATGTCAAACTTATTTCTTACTTAGAATTACATTTGCCAATTTAATTCTACTGCTGACTTTCAACTTGAGAGAAGTGAAGGAAAATTCCATTGCTGGAACAGGACACGTTCTACTTATACAAGTTATGATTTCAACTTCTGCCCTATGTTCTGATCTACTATGAAAAAAGCAAATATTTGCATTAATATTATAGGGTACATTTATTTTAATTATTTTAACTTAAGGAAATTTTATAAGTCTTGAAAGACTTGGAATTTATGATTACAATGTCATTTCTGTAAGATGAATTTTTCTCTCCAAGGTCTGACTGCCTGTGTTACAATCTCAACTTTACTATTTAGTGAGCAGTTAATTAGCTATTGCTATGCTGGACAAGTTCTGGAACCTATTACTTCATAGAATTGATGCAAGAGTTACTTTTGTTAGTCTAAATAAAGTGCTTAGTATAGTGAGCACTCAGTATATATCTTACTGTTTGACTTCTAAGCCTAAGGATACAAAAGCCAAAAGATCCTTCTCAGTCTTCTCTCAGACCTTGCCTGCATCATCATCCTGGTTCCCAATCCAAATGGTCCTGACCCTAAGAGAACATGCACACACATTGGTCTCATCTTAAAAATCAAGAGATAAAAAATCTTGAGTTATAACACAGACCAGTATTCTTACATTTGATACATAGAAGGCATAAGAAATTCTAGTTTTGTACCCCTTCCCTACATAACTCAGAATTTTAGTTAGAATCTAGAACCATCTACATATTCTAGCACCATGTAAACAAGTATGTTGATACAGATGTATAGCTATTTTCTCTTTACATAAATAATTTTTCAAATATTCCCAAACTCCGTCATGCAGTTTAATAAAGGTAAATAAATGCTCTATAAAGAATGAAAAAATCTGCCAAACTCTATGTAAAAGGAAACGCTCTGTTTGTTTATGTGAGTTCCCAAGTATTTTGAGATGTGGAGAGGGACAATAATGAAACTATGGGAGAATTCCATACTGTTTCTGTGGCCTTTGGACTTTGGTGAGATACTTTCTGCCCTCACCAGATGGCTGAAAATCAACTGTTTTGCATAAAATGCTTTGAAGATTAAAGTTCTTAATAATAATTACTGTGAATACTATTTAACAAATTGATTTGTTTGATTTAATTAGGTATCATCATTCAATTAATTTTTTTTGCTAATCCAAAGTGTTCTTTTTTTAACACTTCTCATCTTCACAGATTTTATTACCCCCCCAAATTGATTCTGACTGTAATCTATGAAATATATTTTTGAAATTGTAGGGATTATGCCATCACTTTTTTAATAAAAGAAATAACACAAAGAATATCATAAAGGTTTATCTTTACCATTTTCAAGGTATAAATGAGACCTATGGGCAGGGAAGAATTTTTCAGTCTTTCTTAAGTGATTTGATGAGAAATGTAATGAGGATGGAAAATAAAACCACTGAAACTTAGAAAATATTTTGTACTAATATAAAAATAGTCTTTTAAATATGTGAAACATACTAACTTACATTTTCAGGAAGATAATTAAGAGCAAAGTCATTAGTTTTACTATCCAGTCTCTAGTTCTGGAAATATTCTTGATGAGAAAAATTGGGTGAAATCCAGGAGATAAGAAAACCTGTAAATTTTGGGAAAAAAATAATAGATGCCTTAGCACAGTAGATGGCAAATGCTAAAAGAAAGGAATAAAAATACCAATGAATATTAAATTTATGGATGATGAATCTGAAAATAGAGTTTTAGAAAAATATTTCATTGCAGATCTCAATTTCACAAGAAAGAGGTATAGAAAACCTAAACGTGTTTATTTGAATAAGAGTGGTTCTATGACCTGTGAAAACTGCATGTTTTACAAGTTACTTATTGTGTACTACAAACATAAGAAATCCTCTGCTTAAAGAAAAAATAATACTAAAGAATAATATATGCAATATGGGTATATTTGAATTCATTTCTTGTTCAAAACTTGGGATTGCATTAAGTTTAGTAATTCATATTATTTAAATACTTTTTGATACTTGGAAAAAAGCATGTGAATTTGTTCTTTCATTTTGCTTGGTGATGTGCCAACGAGAAAATATGCTTTAAGTAAAAAAATATGGAAGCTATGTGTTTGTTTCTGTTCCAATGTTCCTGTTGTTTTTTGCTCCCTACCCATGTTTTCATGTTTTTCCAACAAATATCAGATCCAGACTTAGTTAACTCCTCTCATTGAGAAAGCTGCATATACTTGCACAGAACAACAGTAAAGTTAAGCTAAAACAGTTTAAAATTTTACAAAGCTTGCCGCAGTTGCTCTGATTGCATCCATAAACATTGTCAATGATCATGTTTACTTCTACGTGCATCTATCTTGCAACCTCCACAGTGCTCCTCTTTGTAGATTTGTTCCAAAGATCCATATATGAAGCCTGATTGGACTCCCACAATCCACGCAGCCTGGCACCAGTAACCTATTTAAAACCTGAATCCTTGATTTTTTTCTGATTGTGTAGCTCCCTGGACATTATTTCTCTGTGTTTTCTTAGGCCAAGGTAAGATGAATATTTTCTGTAGTGACAAACTGATCTTTATCAACTCTCTAAAAAAATACTAAATGCCATGCCACAAAGATTTTGTAATGTAAGCTGCTAATATGTTTAGACTATAAGCACAAAGTTTATGTTGAAAGCTGATTGAAAATACTTATTTACATACGTGAAGAATACATATGTAAAGCAGCTACTAGTTGTAATGTCACAGGCCTTTGGTGGATCGAAATATAAATATTACTAATCACTTAGCAAATAAATAGGAAGGATTGAAGTGGATAGTAAAAATGACAAGGCCAGTGATGACCAATGCCCTTAAACCCTCTTGAACTCTACTCAAAAATACAAGGCATTTAAAACTAATATATTTTTTAACATGGGCAATTATGTGTGCTTTCAAAATATGCATAATTCTTAACTTGTAATATCCATTTTTAAGTTGTGGTTTGATGAAAATGATTAGCAAAACCTAATGAGAGATCTAAATATAAATATTGCTTCCAATGCATAAATATTTCCTTGCTGTTTCTATATCCTCTTATTTTCTTTACTCAAAAGGTCATAGAAAATGTAGTGATAATAAATTAACTATGATGTATGTAGCAATAATAGTTTGAGTATAGGATACAGACATATCTTTGCAGAATGAACAAATATTACAAAAATCAAAGACTATAAGTAGCTTCTTCCAATTACCAATATTAATAATCACATAATGGGGCTGGGATTGTGGCTCAGTGGTACAGCACTCGCCTAGCATACACGAGGCACTGGGTTCAATCCTCAGGACCACATAAATGTAAAATAAAGATATTGTGTCCACCTAAAACTTAAGAATAAATATTAAAAAAGTAATCACATAACGTTCTAAGTTAAAACATTGTTACTTAATATACATCAAATTAGTAGTTTTCAATGCCATTCATATGGCTTTCCATTATTTATCCTGTTCTTTTAAGTTCAAGATACACATTGGAAAACCTATTGGTCATTAGAGGATTCTTTTATAGTTAAGAATTTTGTTGTAAGAACATCTGTCCACGTAGAATCACTTATCTTGTGTAAATCACGGTTATATTTATATAAGAAGACAAAGGATGAATACCTTGAATATTTAACAATTTGTATGCTTTTTTCATAAAATTTAAAATTTCTGCTGAGCAATTTGATTAAATTGAATATGAAAAGCCATAAAATTTACCCCTCTTCCACTTTCAAAAACCTTCATTTTCTCCATATTTACTTGACTAATAATTCTAAGTTTCCAGAAAACGTGCAAGTCTCATGCTCCCATGTAACTTGCTGAGAATTATTTAGCAACCTACAACTCTCACCAACAACCTCCATTCAGAAAAAATTTCTTCCAAAGCCTAAAAGATGGAGGGCACATCATGGTTTATATCCTACAAAAAAAAAAAGATAATTTGTCTTAATGTGAGTTTCATCTGAGAGAAAAATTACTTTCTATTGAGAAATAACAGCATCTTGATCTAAGAAGGGTTCTGTACTAGCTTTGTTTTAGTATTCATTGGTGAAGAAGTTGAAATGCTGAGCACACTAAAAACAATTACCACACCCAAAATTACCCTGCTAGATTGTGACAAAGCTAGATTCAGAACTCAAGAAAGACCCCAGATATCTGTCCTAGGGTGTTTTAAAAAAAAATCTTTCTTCTCCTCTTCCCAGCAAGAATCACAAGTGAAACAGGCATATCTAATAAACATTAAAGCACAACATCCTCACAATTACAAAATATTCATATTTTAGAGTTATCCTTGTATGATACATACATTCTAGACAAATTTTCTCATTAATTAAATGATTTAGAAAAAGAGAATCAGAGAAAATAACTCAAAAGAAAAAATTTACAAGAAAGTAGAATTCATTAGAAATAGGACAAATAATTTTACAAGTATCAGCCACTGCACACTTCAAAACAATCACTTTTCTGAAGACTTTTTTTTTTTATTTGAAAAAAGGGGGGTTGAAAATTTTGGTTATTTTAAATATAACATCAAAGGACCAGATCTCACAGGTGAATAAAATCTCTTTAAAGCTAAGGGGAAATGTGATTTGTTTTAAATTAAAATCAATGAGTTTAATTTTCAAAACGACATGTTAGTTATTTGTCATAATCAATATTCCTACTAAATTTCTGGGTTCTGTAGAAATGTATATTGGTCCTAGGGAGAATTTTCAACTCCAGGTTTCAAATGTTCTGTCCTGTGATCCACACTAAGTTGGTTGTTTGGTTTTTATCTTAATACTTAGAATATTTATACTCCTGTACTCATGTGAGATGAAACCAGTGTCATAATAATTTTTTTTTCCATTTTAACTGTTAAAGTAGGAGTCTATATTCAATCATCTTGCCTGAACAGTTTTAAGTACCATTCACATCAGTGTGGGATGCCAGAAGCTTTGGTATTGTCATTGACCTTTTGGATTTCTATTTGCCTTTTATTGTTAGTTCTTCATATACTGGATCACATATAATGCAACACTATCTTGATACACTTGATGATAAAACTTGCTGTTATGATACAAAGTTCACATTTCCAATTTCATTTGACTTTTGCTGTTATGTTACAACCACCTGTTCAGGATACAGCATCTGATCTTCTATACTAATAGCATCATAGAAAAGTATTGAAGATGTGTATGCTGCTTTGGAAAAATGTTTGGATTTTAAATACATATCCATTTACTCTTATTAGTACATTGTTCAGAAGTATAATAGTAAAAATTTTACTCTGGATGCACCAAGAGCAGCTATACAGTGTAGGAATAAAACATGCAGTGGTTTGGTCCCCCATAAAGCCTCAACTGTCCATATGCTGGTTGAGGCGACGCAGAACTTGATTGTATCATGATTATTGCATGTATTAAAGCAAGTGTTTACCATTTATTCAAATTGGAGTAAATGCTACTGTGAAGAATTGTGAAGCCTGGGAACCTAAAAACTACTCTATATACAATGTTTGCTGAATACATGCGTTCCTGCTGAAAACAGCAGAGTGCATTCAGCACCGCATCATGACATGCACACAGAGGACTGAGATGTCTGAAAAAGAATACCGTGATAACTGCACCATAAATAAACAGTTGATGCATTCCCCCTTACTGACAGCCTGGAGTAGCTCAAAACCACTGTTTCTTTCCCACCTGTATGAAAAATATATTTAGATAGAGAATACAACATGACTAATATTATAGGTTAGTTAGATAAAACTGAGTCAATGTCAGAATGCAACAAATATTTGCATCCGTTTGCAAAGGTGTAGCTGGCAACTTCAAATCATCCTGCTATTTCACAGTCATTCTCTTACAGTTTACATTGACTATTATTTTTCAAGCACGTGATTAAAGCTAACAATTTCTGTACTCAAATTGTTTTTAGTACTCATTCATCTTTAAAAACTTTAGCTAAACTTGACTTAAACAAACAAAAAGTTACCCTGAAATTCAATGAACATCAAAGGTCAAGAAAAAAGTACTAGCCTCACTATGAAAAAAAAATCTCAATTTCAAGGCTGATTCCAAGACTGATTCCACAACAATAATTATTATTATTTGTGCCTATGGTAGGTAGATATTGTAGCATAGCATAGCATGGAAATATGTTCCCCTGAAAACTTCCATCATGGGAAATGGAAGTTATTTGCACAAATAAAAGAAAGATAGAAGCTATGGTATTTAACACATGTTTTGAGACTCCTAAGCAGGCACACCTCAGGATTCATAAAGAAATTCAAACATAAATTTTAAAATAGCAACATTTTAAAATAAATTACTGTTTCACACTTCTCCAGTCTAATGATGATAACTTGTCCTTCAGTTCTAATAGATTTGACTGGGGAAACTGGAAGATAATTACAAAAGCTCATAAAAAAATGGGTATAATAAACCAAAATATTTCTTTTGATTCTGCCATCATCTTATATGTCAACATATATGTACAGATGGTCCCATGATATACAAATTACTGATATATATTTTCAACTTGATACTCATTACTTAACTCCCCTGCTCCCAATATTAAATGCCATGCATGCACTAATTGAAAAGAATACCTTTCTGAACATCTTCAAAAAATGTACTTCAGTTGAAAGAAACAAATTCTCATGGGTTCTTACAAAGGAATGTGTATTCTATTTCACTGGAAAGACTAGCTATAGACAACACAACTCTTTGTTACTTCTTTTTTAGTTGATAATAGGCACTTTCTAAGAAGAGGATTTGCGACCCCAAAGACAATGACATTCAGTCTTTAGTTACCTCCATTTTGTAAGTGGATCTGCCTGAGCCATGGTAGTCTATTGTATCAACTCAGCAGGAATCCAGCAGTAAACTGTGTGCAAAAAGGCTTTACAAAACTGGAACCAGAAAAAATCATAGAAAAGCAGTTATCTGAGTTGAACAACTTAACATCTCTCTCTCCATTGGTTGCTGGTTTCCACATTTCTTGTGACATCTCTACAGTCAGAATCATGTGTCAGCAATCATGTGACATTCTTTTTTAGTTCCAGATACACAACAGAACATGTTTATCAATGTACATTATTTTTTTTTAAATTCTGTATCATAATAGGTAAGTTTTTCATACACTTACATAATTTTTTTGTATGTTATTTTGCTAAGGAACCTTTCAACCTCACACCCTTGAACAAGTTTTAAAAATACAAATGTAGAACATTCATCACCTTTGGAAAATTGGCATCTCTAACATGAATTATCAAAAGGCCCTTATACCCTGTGGTGCAGTATTTTTATAATAATATACACTATATGAGTAGTTGAGTGTTTATGGTATTGATAATGTCAGCTTACAAGATGGCGGCTGTTCTCCAAGACGGAGGCAGTAGGGATTTCCTTACAGAAGAGCTAATGATTACTATCTAAGTATAACGTTAAAAAAGGAGAGGTATAGTTGAGTGAAAATGCAATTCATGCACAAAACCCATAGCAATAAGTTCTCAATACCCCACACTGCTATCCGACGTAGGCAATAAAACAGTATTTAAATGGAGGGGAAAATAATCTAACACTAAGTTACAGAAAAATATCTATGGAAAGAGATCATAAAATGGTACTTCCTTGGCATTAGTCTATAATTTAACTTAACATAACATTGAAGAAATGATAGCTTGATATACTCAGCCTGAGATCAAATTTGTCATGGCAACATTGGCAGGTTGGACCCTGATTCTTCAAATATTACATTGCCTTAGTTAACAAAAAAAAAATCATACATTTTAAAATTACAGAATAGAGGATATAAATAAATGTCAATGTAAAGTGTGCATGCAGTCAACTGCATAATATACAAGCAATATCTATGTTTAATAATCATCTTCTTTGGCAGGCCAGAATCCAGCTGGACATGCAATATGTACATATCAAAATCCATATTGTGTTCATCATATTGAAAGCAAGTGAAAATATATATATATATATATGTATATACTGTATATACACACATATGTATATAGATGTATATACTGTTTTCATATATTAACAAATATATATGTATATGTATATATTAAAAGTGGATTTCATCTTTGTCAGATTCAGGTGATTCAGGCCTTGAAACACTAAAAATATCCTGACAGGGTATTTGGGGAGGTACTTGGAGTGGCATTTGGGATTTGGGAGAAGAAGTCTGGGGTACGCTTTTTTCTGACAGTATTTTTAAGATTTCTGCCACCTGCTTTTCCAGGGCAGTCATTCTGCAGCTTAGCTGCTGGATGTCCTCCTTGAGTTCATGTTTGACTTCCTGCAGCGTGGTCTGTAAGGCCTGCTCAGGGATAGGATAAAAGGGGTGCTTGGCATCAGCCTGAATGGGACTGTGCTCCAGGGGACTTCGGGCCTCACCAGCCTTATCCAAACGAAGGTCACTTTTTGTAATTCCACTGTCACAAGAATCCGTTTTCCGTAATGGGTTTTTGGTCACACTATTCTCTGAGTCGCTGCCCTTGGGGTCCTCGGACAGTAGCCCCATGGACTCAGCTTTGGTGACGTTATTCCAGTCTTCCTTCTTCTCCTCATGGGCCCCCATATTGTTCTTGAGCCGCAGCCACCCTTTCCCGTTTCCATTTTTCATTCGTATGGGGCTGTTGACTTTGAGACATTTGGGGTCAGCACCACCATTGGGCTTGAGTTCCATGGCATCGCGGTTGTTCTGCTTGAGGGATTCACTGGTTTTCACATAGGCCAGAGACGTCTGGATGGGAGTAATCTGCGACACGGTCACCACGCTGGTGCCAGTGATGGAGGCTCCGTTCTGTAAGGAGCGGCTCTCCACCTGGAGCTGGCTCCTCTCGGGGTCACTCTGCGTGGAGCCCTGATTCCGCAGCTCCTTCTGCTGCTTGAACTTCTGGAAGAGCTTCCTGACTGGGTGGTCCACGGGGATGCTGAGAGTCACCTCGTTCTTCTGCCTGAGGCGTTCCTCCTCCTCCTTCTTCACATCGCTGATTTTACGGAAGATGATCTGTGGAATGGGAGAGAGTCAAAGAGGTGAATTTATGATGCATGATGCTCTATGGACATGCCATGGTTTACCAAGCCTTGAACAAACGGGAAGATCCTTTCTCAAGGGGAAACACTATCTACTTACTGGCTGTGCTCTATTTCCTTGTATGTCAGTGGGGGGAATGTGACTGAAACAACTGAGCTTTACTTCTTCTCTACAATGTAAGTATATGTTAGTATACGTGTGTTTGAATATTTGTGTGTATACATATACAAGTAAACAAATATATATCCCTTAAGTTTCCCGGTAATACATCCCTATATTTTGTATATTTTCACCTTTTTGCATAAATATAATTGAAACACCTTTTTAAATATCATCCTCTCTTTAGGAGTCAGACAGTAAAAGTTCTTAGCTACAAAAGTATTGAAATTCAGAGATTACCAACATGATACCTGGGTTGGGCAGTGGTAAGGAATCAAGATATTTATGTGGCCCTAGATGTAAAACAAGGATCTATGAGGAAAAGTTTCTCTAAGGCAAGTACCAGTTCAATTAAGCCTTCATTTCAAACTGCTATTAATTACATGAGCTGCCTCAAAAACATATGAACTCCTACCACAAAAATATTCAAGCAAATCTAAGAATGCTGTCCCGGCGACACTTCCACCTGGGCTAGAGATTAGACTATTCAAATTCTGATTCTTCATCTTTTAAACATAAAACTAAATATATAGTACATGTGAGGGTAGATGGCTACCCCAAATACATAAACAAGACTTTATTCAAAAGGTACTTTGAAAATATTTGGAAAAACTTATGCAAAATCAAGAGAAATAAAAATGCTGGCTATATGGAAATTATACCTATCTTTTCATTTAGAGGTAAACTTAGTAAGGGTGAGTTTTGTTTTATTTTATTTGCTTA